GGAGTAAGCTCACATGAGGGAAGGGAAGTCAAGGTTGGTACAAGGAAAGCGGTTTATTAGAAGGGAGTGTGCACATAGAGGGTGAAGTGTTAAGAATACTAATAACTATATCTTTTATTGTCCAATTTTTCCTTTCTTTTTTTTGTCCATCCGATGCCAGCCACACAATCCTAGCGTAAAAGTCTGAGCTAGCATGTTATGGGTTGTCTTAGTAGAATAGTTAATCCAGCATAAAATTGGAAACATGAGTCTGAATGGTGAGCGCAGGAGAACAACCTCAATATCACAGATTGATTGACTCGTTCTCAACCATAAAGAGCCTGATACAAACAAAATATTCTGCCCCACAAACACGGGTGGATTGAAGTCATCGCCCTCACCATCACTGCTTGCCGGCCAGTAACTCCACCCTCCCTCCTTTTGTGATGTTAGGCTCATTTAAGCTTATTTTTGGATATATGCCATACCTCACACAATGCTCCATTTCTCATATCCAGTTGGAAAACACTATTTCTATAAGTACCATTTTACAAGCTTATCATGCAGTTACAACTTATAGACTGTGGGTAAGGCTTCGATGCAATGCATTAATTGACTATAGTATGAAGTATATGTTGCCAATCAAAGTATAGGCTATTAGAAGGGTATAATGTAGGATAGTTGTTTACCAAAGTACGCGGAAAGGTATAGAAGTATATGACTTGTAGATAAGGTAACGAGTGGAGAAATAATACTAATTGCTAGTCAACATAGTGTACAGAAGAGTAAAAAGTTAATAAAGAATAAACAGGAAGAAACTCACATTAACTTGGTTACTTACTTACTTACGCCTGTTACTCCTCGTGAAGGAACATAGGCCACTCACCAGTATTCGCCATCCAATCCCGTCCTGGGTAATCCTTTCCAGCTCCTTCCAATTGTTATTCATCCTTTTCATATCTGCTTCCATTTCCCAACGTAATGTGTTCTTAATCATCCTCTTTTCCGCTTCCCTTCAAGATTCCAAGTTAGGGCTTGCCTCGTGATGCAGTTTGACGATTTGCGTAATGTATGTCCTATCCATTTCCATCATCTTTTCCTAATTTCTTCTTCAGCTGGAAGTTGGTTTGTCCTCTCCCACAGAAGTCTATTGCTGATGGTATCCGGCTAATGGATGTTGAGTATCTTGCGAAGACAGCTGTTTATGAATACTTGTACTTTCTTGATTGTGGTTGTTGTAGTTCTCCAAGTTTCAGCTCCATACAGTAGAACTGCCTTGACGTTGGTATTGAAGATTCTGACTTTGATATTGGTTGAAACTTGTATTGAGTTCCATATGTTCTTCAACTGAAGGAATGCTGTCCTTGCTTTGCCAATCCTCGCCTTTACGTCTGCATCTGATCCTCCTTGTTCATCGATTATGCTTCCCAGGTATGTGAAGGATTCCACATCTTCCAGAGTCTCGCCATCAAGAGTGATTGGATTGCTGTTCTCCACTTTGAATTTGAGGACCTTGGTTTTCCCTTTGTGTATGCTGAGGCCTACTGATGCAGAGACTGCTGCTACAGTGGCTGTCTTTATCTGCATCTGTTCGTGTGTACGTGATAGGAGGGCTAGGTCATCTGCGAAGTCCAAATCTTCTAATTGGTTCTGAGCTGTCCATTGTATGCCGTGTTTTCCTTCAGATGTTGAGGTCTTCATAATCCAGTCGACCATTAGAAGAAAGAGGAAGGGAGAGAGTAAACAGCCTTGTCTGACTCCGGTCCTTACTTGGAATGCATCTGTCAGCTGTCCTCCATGCACAACTTTGCATTGTAGTCCGTCGTATGAGTTCCGGATAATGTTGACAATCTTCTCAGAAACTCCGTAGTGTCGAAGATGTTTCCATAACGTTCTCCTATCTACACTGTCAAATGCCTTTTCATAATCAATGAAGTTGATGTATAGTGACGAGTTCCACTCAATTGATTGTTCGACGATGATCCGTATTGTCGCAATTTGGTCTGTGCACGATCGATCCTTACGGAATCCAGCTTGTTGATCTCGAAGTTGGGCGTCTACTGCATCGTTCATCCGGTTCAGCAACAATCTGTTGAAGACTTTCCCTGGTATTGACAGTAGTGTAATGCCTCTGTAGTTTTCACATTTGCTCAGATCTCCTTTCTTTGGAATCTTGACGAGTTGTCCTTCTTTCCAGTCCAACGACACTTGTTCCTCCTCCCAAATCTTTTTGAACAGAAGGTAAGGCATGCTTGTGGTTACTTCGACGTCTGATTTCAGTGCTTCAGCTGGTATGTTTTCGGGTCCTGCTGCTTTCCCGTTCTTGATTTGTCTGATGGTCATTCTGATTTCTTCCGTCGTTGGTGGATTGACATCTATAGGTAGATCTGTGTATGCTGCTTCGGTGTCCGGTGGATTCATTGGAGCCGGCCTATTCAGGAGTTCCTCGAAGTATTCTACCCATCTGTTCCGCTGTTGTTGAATTCCAGTGATTGGCCTGCCTTCTTTGTCCCTGACCGATCTCTCTGGTTTACTGTATTTCCCTGCTAGTTTCTTCGTTGTATCGTAAAGTTGTTTCATATTTCCTTCACTTGCAGCTTTTACGGCCATCGTTGCTAGTTCTTCCACGTATTTCTTCTTGTCGGCTCCAATGCTTTTCTTCACTTGCTTGTTTGCTTCTGTGTATTCAACTTTTGCTTGGACTTTCTCTGTTCGTGTTCGGCTGTTGCCAATTGCTGTCTTCTTGTTCTTCCTTTCTTTGATCATGTCCAGTGTTCCTATAGAGATCCATTCCTTATGATAGTGCTTCTTCAGTCCCAGGACCTGTTGATACGTTGAAGTTATTACCTTTCCGGTTGTCCTCCATAGTAGTTTCTTCTTCCTTCGGTAGATCCTGTAAGGCTTGGAACCTGTTGTTGAGAGCTATCTACATTCATGTCTTATAAATTATCAACCCAGCTATGTAATTTAATACAGTGTATATTGTATCATTTGTATCAATTTGATCTTGCCTGTAAACTGGCATGCCCCATGTAACAAACTGTTATTTGAGAATAAATTATTATTATTATTTGAATTTATTGAATTTTTCAGTATGTCGAATGAAGGCTATATTGAACGTTCGTAGTGCTGCTTGTCCAGTTTTCCAGTACTTTTTTAGCTTCAGTTTTAAATGGGTCACAACTAGGTGATGATTTGAAGCTATATCAGCTCCTCTCCTGGTTCTCACATCTTCCATTGTCCTTCGGAATATTGCATTGATGCAAATATGATCTATCTGGTTCTCTGTAGTGTGGTCCGGTGAGATCCATGTAGCCTTGTGTATACGCTTGTGTGGAAATATTGTGCCTCCTATGACCAATTTGTTGAATGCACACAAATTTGCAAATCTTTCTGCATTTTCGTTTCTCTCGCTCAGTCAATGCTTGTCGTCCCATGATGTCTTCATATCCGGTGTTGTCTATTCCGAGATCTCCCATCAGAATGGTGAGGTCGTTTCTTGGGCACTTCTCTATGATTGACTGCAGCCGCTAGTAGAACTGATCTTTAATATCGTCGTTGCTATCATTGGTGGGTGCATAACATTGGATAATATTCATTGTGATCCCCCTCCCTCTTTGTTTTGAATGATGCTTTGATGATTGTGTGTCCATGAGATTCCCATCCAACAAGTGCATTTCGTGCTATTTTGAACAGAATTAGAGCAACTCTTTGAGTGTGTGGAGCATTTTCCTCCTCGTGATCGGAGTATAGCAGCATCTCTCCTGTATTTAGCCTTTGTTGTCCAGCTTGGATCTAATGGGTTTCGCTGATTCCCAGTACTGCCATGTTGTATCTCCTCATTTCCATTGCTATTTGACTGGTCTTCCCGATCTCCCACATTGTTCGGACGTTCCATGTACCTATAAAAATTGTTGCTCTGGTTGTTAGAAGGGGCATCGGCCTCGTGGCTTCCGAAGGAATTCGGCTTTCACCACGAAGCGTCATAATTCTTCTAAATGAAAACCTTCTAAATTTCAGGGCAGAGTTAAAATGGTTTGAATAATTTTTTCTGTTTAGCGTTTTGTTAGCGAGTTAGTTTTCTACGGGATGGGGACACTAACCCATGCCCAAACCTCCTCCTTTACCCAGTCTTGGAACCGGCAGTAACTCTAGAAGAGCTACAGGCGGAGTTACATTAACTTGGTGCTGATGTTATTTTGTGTTGTCATAACCAGTTGATGGGTAACAGGCCCCATATATCCAAGACCGCTGTTAGCAGACAGTCGATTGTGATGTCCTCTTGACGTTTTAGAGTGGTGATGAGTGTCCCGTAGAGACCGAGTTTAGTTAAACAGTATTGATAGGTCCAGTGAGTTACCTGTCTACTTCAAGTGAAGAAATAGGGTGGAAAAAGCAATTAATACAACTGCAAAGTAGGAAAAATAAGGCAAACTGAACTTGAAGTCCATTTTGGTCTAGACATGGAGAGAGCCTATGACGTCTGAGTGGGACGCAGATGTGTTCGTACGTGCAAGATCAGTGCGAGTGAGGGCTTGATCAAGCAGTTTTACAAACGTATGTAGTTCATTCGCCATGAGAGTTTCGGAGGGAAGACTGTTCCATATTATTGCATACTTGGTGAGGAAGAAGTTTTCCCGAGTTTTTTATCTGTATTTCTCAACTTTGTCCGTAGATACTGTAAGATCCATTTTGAATGTTTTGTGTGTTTGTGAAAATCCCTCCATGTATTTACTTGCACTTTGTTCCTATTGATCCTCTTAGTTGTACATTGTCGTATTTTGATTACATTTGAGTTGTTAATACTTGTATTTTTTATTATAGTTTTTGTTTTTCTTACGCATTCACTAAGTTTGTGTTTCTTCCTGAACTGCATCTGTGTTGTTTTACTTGACACTTGTTCTTGGCGGTAGCCATATTGATTTGTTCCTCCTGTTGTGTGTGATCTATCCAGCCAGGATAGAATAACGTTGATTTGTTGTGATTGGTAAATTTCTTGCATCCTTTATCAACTTTCTTATTTATTGTAATTTAGATTTGATCAATTGAACAATTATTGGTTGGATAGCTGAGTGGTTATATTTGTTTAGGTAATAATGTACACTTAAATTTATGATAAATTATAGAACCGCCATCTTACCCAATTACTTTGTTTTGGTTTCAATCGGGCGAGGGCGCGTATCTAACTCATCCAGACAGCTGTCCAGCAGTCCAAACGTAGTTTGGATCTTACAGTTCTAAACAAATATTTTGGTCGAATTCGTTTGGCTTTCGTTTCGTTGATTCCAATCATCGTCTCTGGGAATATCTGGTCGTTCGCTTGCGATGCCAAACAATCGTCGAAGGAAATTAAGTCCAAGGCTCGTGGATGTTAAAAGAGATGAACAAAAGGATGGATCCCCTCAAACAAGGCAAGTGCCTTCTGATGCTTCTATGTGTCATGGTTCATATTCTAATAGGGACGATTGTAATTATAGTGAATCTAGTTGTGATATAATGGCAGATGGCATAGAAAACCTTGATTTAGACGTGAAGCAAGCAAAAGGCGTAAGGCCTACGGCGTTTTTCATAGGTCCAGAGTTACCAAAGGTTGAGTTAAGTTATTTCGACGGTCAACCAAGAGGTTACTGGAAGTTTTTAAGGGAGTTTGAGACCTACGTGGAATCAAGGGTCAAGGATGATGGTCAACGCTTGCTTTATTTGATACATTATTGTAAGGGTAAAGCGAAAACAGCCATTGAGGGTTGTGTTATGTTGGAAGCCTCTTTTGGTTACAAGAAGGCCAAGGAAATTCTAAAACGTTTGTTCGGACAGGCGCATGTAATCGCTCGGGAGACTTTAGAGGACTTATTCAAAACTACAAATGTTGATTACAGTGATCCTGAGCAACTAACAAATCTAGCTATTAGGATGGAAAATTGTTCTATGGTTTTGAAACAGATGAAGTATACTGCCGACTTAAATTCTCTAATTACCTTAGAGAGAATAGTAGGACTCTTACCTCAAGTTATGCAAGCCCAGTGGGCGGACTGGGTGGATGAATTGACTGAAGATAATAGAGAACCAACCTTTGACGAGCTTACTCAATTTATAGCATCCCGCGCGAGAGTAGCTAATAGTAGGTTTGGACGGTTAGCGAATCGTCCGAGAAAGGGACACAACTTAAAGACAAATTGTCACTTGCAATTGGAGCGGGAGAATAATTCGAAAGAGAAAGCTAAATGCAGTGTGTGTTCCTTGGATCATGCTATTTATAAATGTCCAAAATTTTTAGCGCTTACCGTTCAAGAGAGATGGTCTCACGCGAAGGTTAATGGCATCTGTTTTGTCTGCCTTAGGCAAGGGCATAAAGTTAATGAATGTAAGCTGGCAAAACGTTGTAACGTTAATAGTTGTGAGAAGAAACACCATTCTTTGCTGCACAGCGAAAATGATAAACCTGGTATCCCGAATTGTTGTGGATTTACTAAATCCCTAAGTAGCCAAGTGTGCTTAGGAATGATTCCTGTACGTTTGATGTTGGGAAATGCCGAAATGGTGGGTTATGCTTTGTTGGATAACGGGTCTGATGTAACGTTGATAAAATCGAGCTGTTTGAGGTATCTCGGGTTGAAGGAAGACCGAGCGTCAGTGGTAGTAGAGACTGTGAGTGGTAATAGGACAATGACGGTCACAAAGACTCCTTTTGAGGTGTATTCTTTAGATCGGTCTGAACATGTTACGATCGAAGGGGCTCTGATTGTCGCAGATATACCAGGTCACAAGCCAACAAGGTCGGCAGTGAACAACTTAGTTAAATGGCCACATTTAAGGGATGTACCAATAGGCAACCTAGACTCTGAAGAAGTTCTGCTGTTGATTGGTTGCGATGTACCAGAGGCACACTGGGTGTTAGAACAGCGGTTGGGTGGAAGAAAAGGCCCGTACGCTGTGAAGACGTTGTTGGGGTGGACGGTCTTCGGACCTGCGTCATATCCGGAATACAGGAAAAGAGTTGTCAATCATACCAGTAAGATACAGGCTTTGGAGAACGAAATACGTAAACTTTATGCGTCAAATAGGTCATGTTACGGTAGATAGGGGTATCAAGAAGAGAATTGACGAACCCGACGCGGAAGTAGAATTGCACCTGTTCAGTGACGCTTCAGAGATCGGTTACGGAGCAGTCGCGTACGCTCGAGTCAGTTATTTGAAGGAACAACCCTACTGTATTTTGTTATACAGCAAGTCTAGGGTAGCACCTATCAAACAGGTCACTATACCGAGGCTTGAGATGGCAGCGGCAGTGTTAAGTGTGAGGCTTAGCGAAGTCTTACAGAGAAGTCTGCCTAATTTTTTCTGTAAGGTAAATTTCCATACAGATTCCATGGTAGTGTTGTACTACATCAAGAATATCGAGAATCGCTATAGCACCTATATAGCTAACCGTCTCGCCATTGTGCATCAGTATACGAAGATTGAACAATGGAGTTATGTAAAGTCGTCACAGAATCCAGCTGACTGGACCTCGAGAGGTATACAAAAAATGTCAGATCTTGAGCTTTGGTTCAAATGTCCTACCTTACTGCATGGCGAATTTTGTACAGCAATCACTGACTGTCCGGAACCTACTCCTGACGATATTGAGTTTAGAAAAACTGCCGTGGTTAACTTGAGTAGTATAAAGTACAACATGTCACCTATTCTCGCTTATTATTCTGAGTGGTTGAAATTAGTCAGGGCCGTAGCCTGGCTTAGAAGGTTCATAGAATTTCTGATGGTGCTTCGTTCACCGAGTCATGAAGGATCCGTTCATCTAGGGTGTTTAAAGGTCAAAGAACTTGACGTCGCCAAGCGTAAAATTTTGTTGATGGTTCAAAAAGAAGTGTATGGAGAAATACTTAGTGGATTTAAAACCAATGGTAAGGTAGTTAGTCACAATGATCTGAAGGGCTTATCACCGATAATGCTTGATGGGTTACTCTGTGTTGGAGGCCGACTAAGCTACTCAGATTTCTCAAATGCCTTTAAACATCCAATAATATTGCCCAGTCGACACTTAGTGACAGAAATGATAATTAGACATTATCATAAGGAACAAGGGCACACAGGAACGTCACAAGTACTGGCCACGATTCGAAAAAGGTATTGGATAATAAAAGGAACCAGCACGGTTAAGAGAGTGATAGGAAAGTGTGTGACATGCCGGCGGTATACGATGGTTACAGGGCAACAATTGATGGCACCACTTCCAGCTTGTAGAGTGCAACAAGGATGGTATAGCTTCTCAGCCGTGGGAGTAGACTACTTTGGACCCCTTTTTGTCAAAAGAGGAAGATCACTAGAAAAAAGATATGGATGTGTATTTACTTGCTTGCAAACCCGAGCAGTACATATTGAAATGACACATAGTTTGAATACTGATTCGTTTATAATGGCCTTGCTACGTTTCATTGGAAGAAGAGGGAAACCTGCAGAAATTTACAGTGACAATGGGTCGAATTTCGTGGGTGCGGTCTCTGAACTAAAGAGATTTGTGCAACAGTTGAATCAGCAAAGGATAGACAAGGAACTGTCAGCTAGACAGATTCAGTGGCATTTTAACCCGCCCTCATCCAGCCACAGGGGTGGGGTCTGGGAAAGGATGATTAGGTCTATACGCAGACTGTTATTGTTGATAACTAGAGAACAGACTTTAACTGATGAGACCTTAAGCACTTATTTGATTGAAGTTGAAAGGATATTGAACGATCGACCCTTAACTCCAGTCGTCCAAGATGCTAACGATCAACTAGCCTTGTCGCCAAACAGCCTGTTATTATTGAGAGAATGTGACGGAATAGTCGAAGAAGGTAGCATCAGAGATAAATATGACAAACGATGGAAACAGGTTAATCATCTTGCTAATGTGTTTTGGAAAAGGTGGTTAAGAGAGTATTTACCGTCTTTACAGAAGCGTCAAAAGTGGTTAGTTGAACACCGCAATTTTCAGAAAGGTGATGTAGTGATCGTGGCTTCGGACATATCGACCCGTGGAAAGTGGCCCTTAGGAGTAGTTGAAGATTGTAAAATAGATGACGACGGAAGAGTTAGAACAGTGGTTGTTCGTACGAACGGTGGATTAGTCAGAAGAGATATACGTAGATTATGCCTCCTGGAAGGCTCGAATTAGTTCCTCGTGTTATCAATATAGGTAGGTCGAGTAGGCGTACTGTTGTAAGTCCTACTCGTTCCTATAGTGTGATATGCTACATAATGAACCATGACCATAGGCATCAAGGTAGCTTGTGTGATATGGAGGGATTTTGGGGGCCGGTGTAAGATCCATTTTGAATGTTTTGTGTGTTTGTGAAAATCCCTCCATGTATTTACTTGCACTTTGTTCCTATTGATCCTCTTAGTTGTACATTGTCGTATTTTGATTACATTTGAGTTGTTAATACTTGTATTTTTTATTATAGTTTTTGTTTTTCTTACGCATTCACTAAGTTTGTGTTTCTTCCTGAACTGCATCTGTGTTGTTTTACTTGACACTTGTTCTTGGCGGTAGCCATATTGATTTGTTCCTCCTGTTGTGTGTGATCTATCCAGCCAGGATAGAATAACGTTGATTTGTTGTGATTGGTAAATTTCTTGCATCCTTTATCAACTTTCTTATTTATTGTAATTTAGATTTGATCAATTGAACAATTATTGGTTGGATAGCTGAGTGGTTATATTTGTTTAGGTAATAATGTACACTTAAATTTATGATAAATTATAGAACCGCCATCTTACCCAATTACTTTGTTTTGGTTTCAATCGGGCGAGGGCGCGTATCTAACTCATCCAGACAGCTGTCCAGCAGTCCAAACGTAGTTTGGATCTTACAGATACTTTGTTTCGAAGTCCGTATTCATGTGAATCCCGGGTAAGAATTATCTTACATGTTGAATAAGTAAGGTTTTTGAGTAGTTTGAAGTAGAGAATCAAATTAGACCTAAGCCTTCTCTCCCAAAGGGGTGCTATTCCTGAGATTTGGCATCGAGAACTGTAGTCAATGACCGAGTCAGTCTTAGGTACTTTGCGGGTGAAGTCTCGTTGTATTACTTCCACCTTTAGTATATCAGATAGGCGTAGGTTGGAAAATAAGAACGAGCAGTATTCAACGGTAGATCTTACACAAACTTTGTAAAGAAGGATTTTAGATTCATTTTGATAGAAATTACGGAGAATGAAGCCAAGCAATTTCCGCATTTTGGATGCTTTGGTTGAGATGTGTTCAGAGAAATTAAAACTGTGTGAGTAATGTACCCCTAGGTCAGTTACTGATGCCAGTCTGGGCAGTGTGTGGTTGCTAAGTGTTAGTTTCATTTTAAGAGATGTGTCTTCTATACATAACCAGCCGCATTTCTCTATGTTGAGCTCTAACCTCCAGAGTTTGCACCAGTCATCTACCATGTTGAGTTCATGTTGAATTGTTTGCATAGTACTGTGTAAATCGCAAATGTCAGTTTTATAGATGACTTTTAAGTCATCGGCATAGAGGTAGGTCTTACCTGTGTTAATGCACTTGAATATGTTGTTGATGTAGATTATAAAGAGCAATAGACCCAAGACACTACCCTGCACAACACCACTGGCTATTGGTCGAGGTTTAGATGTTGCAGAGTTAATCTTGGTTATTTGATATCTGTTCGTAAGAAAAGATTTTATCCATTGCAAAATGGGATTCATAGTTCCAACTGACTTAAGTCTGTTGATTAAAAGATTATGAGGTACTTTATCAAAGGCCTTCTTAATATCGAAATATAGTATAACCACTAGTTTCTTCTGGTCACGTATGCCAGTAACCTCGTTAAAGAAGTCTATCAGACATGTACTGCAGGACCTTGTTCTAATGAAGCTATGTTGTGACGGGTCTATTAGATCTTCCTTAAGTAGGTGATCAGATAGGTGATTTGTATCACTTTTTCTATTATTCGTGATATAACTGGAGTGATATTTATGGGTCTTTAGTTTTCTACCAGGTTTCTCGGTCCGGATTTGTGTTTGGGAAGAACATACCTTACCTTCCAGGTATATATATATACCAATAATAATAAACTCATTTACCGTTAACGGCTTTCAGAAGGAATTAGGTGTATAATGAAAGGACGTGTGCTTCGTAAGTTAATTTTATCTGACCCAACTGTTTCTGCTACCTTGACGTGCTTATCGTGATAAACCAAACAGGCTATACTGGATAGGACAATCGTTTCTCAAGGTCCTACCATGCAAAACAGGTCGGTTGAAGAACGGTAAGACTAGAGGCAGCAGACCCAGGGTCCGAGGGCGGAGTTGTACAGCCGATTTGAACAGATGTCTGGCGGCAGTAAGGTGTTTCCCTTACACAACCAGCGCAACAACAATGCTACCTTCCCACAAGGAGGGATGGGGTTTGAACAGGTCGACCATAAAAATGCACACCTCGCCTTATCCCACGGATATCCGTCTCCGCCGGTAAGGTCACAACAAATACGGAGCTAACAAGAAAATTACTGACAAAAAGGTCGTGTGTGATCGACCTCAAGCAGTTGTCTCTTGGGCACTGTGGTCACGCTTTCAGGTTACTAAGACCACCTTTTATCCGATTTCCTTTTCAAGTACCTCCAGAAGAACCCTTCCATTGTGCGGACAACCGGGAAGTGATAACTGCCCTCATACCTCTAACAACACTCAAGATCACTGTATTCATAATCAATATCCCTCTTTATTTCCTGATAATCGGCCCTCAATAAGGCGTTGAAACCTTTGTGTATCGTAACACATAGCTGAGGCATGCTGATCGAAAATGAAGTACTTTAATTCAGTATCCTGCAACCTCCACTGGGGGCTTGTTAAGACTTTCGAATCACTTCTGTGGTAATGGCGTCTATGGAAATCTCAATAGGTGCTTCCGTGGGGATACAGTTGACGTCGAACGTCAACCATTACTACTCTTTTAAAGGCATAAAACGAAACTAAGATCACTATTGGCTATTTTATGTCCAGATCATTCATAAACGCATCATATAAATTAGCTCTTAGCACTTCAGGAGTTAGTTGTATTGCCTTCGATAATAAAGGTGGTCCTCTAGATATGATATGATTTGTAACCTTGTTACCCATGAATATGAACTACGGACCTCGAGATACTTCACGAGTATTTGTTAGAAATACGAATAGTAGGAAGCCTATTTGAATATCTGAGCTACCTGTTCCTGTCATCCAAATATTTCAACAAGTTATCTGTCTTTCTTTTGTTTTAATACATCATTATGCCTATTAGTCGCATAACCTATTCAGGTGCGTTTGTAAAATGTCCACGACTTTTCGCAGTACAACTTACAACAGAGCACAATCAGAGACATTGTGGTTGTTAACAATATGCATAAAAAAGAATGCACATTATTCAGATGTCGATCTCTAAACTACTAACATCTAACTGGTGACCACTCAATATTTATCGCAAGGGTCGGTCAAGAAATAAGAAACGGAAACTTGTTGAAATACTTTGTGCTGAGAATTTCATAGTGTACTAAAAATATAATATTGAATAAAGCCACTTATAATAATATCTAACCGTACGTTTAGCTCCGTCTAGCCCTAACTTAAAGGCAGAAAGTGATTTTCCAGAAACAGATGACTTGTCGTTACCATTTAACAACCTTCTCTTGTATCAGTAGACGAACATGTAGCGTAGTTCTATCAAATCTTTTTAAATGACAGACACTGAAGTCTGAAGCAACAAAAATCCAGCGGATGGGTCCGATAAACTCATGTACAAGTAAGAGCACTTCTGAATGCATGTATCAAACTGTTTCCAACTAATAGCTGAAGTGTTGGAGCACTTGATATTCATTCCATCATAATGAGTTTGAACTGAAGAAGCTCCCCTGCCCATTTTCCTAAGTTCTTCGCATTGTGTTTTAGTCAAAACCCAGACTAGAACAGGATGAGAACTATCGTCAGTAACAATACTGCTTATTATTAACACTAACGTTCAATGACCAAAGACTGTGGCCGGTGATTTTCGGAAGTAGTATCTGAGCTTTCATAAAATTAATAGCTTCCTTGAGCTCATAAATTTAAGAATAATGTAGAGAAGCGTATTCTGAGGTTCGAAGTTGATTTCGCGTGCCTATACAGTAAACGTGCAAACATTCTGAAGATTGTTATGGTTTGTCTGAATGACGCTAATTTATGCTCCATTGTCGGTTAGTTTAAAACTGCCACAACTATTCGGAGCTTGACAACATCTTAATCAGTAACACTTCTTATGATCGAAACGTGCCAACTCGATGAAATCAGAGGTCAGAAGAGAAGTTCGAAGATATATTTGTTAGAATATCGATATGTCGAGAAGTGACCAAGCTAAGCTGGCCAGCGGTTGTTGGAATAGTGGAGCACAGCGTACCCACTCGTGATCTGGTAGGGATGCATGACCGAGTGCCTTTAGTTAGGTGAGTCCATTAAAACTTGTAGTGACTCACTTTTATCGCGAGAACACGATTGGTTTATTGAAAATAGTTATTATTATAACCAATTGTACCAGTGGCTGTTTAATGTACTCTTTGTTTAACTGTGCTAAAAAACATCCATTATACTTACACTTTGATTGTGAACTCGCGCGAATTCAGTTACGCTCTGTAACCAGGCTTGTATCCTGGCACGATCTCGGTATTCTTTCGATACCACGAGATCACCAGCAAATATATCTCGACTTGGTCTATTAACTGCCTTCTGATATTTGGCTTTCGGGGTATTTTATGCATATCCTGGCATGCGTTCCTTGGTAGCAGTGTTCATAGTCAATTTCGACTCGACGCTACGCTACAAACTAATGATAAGTTATTCTCAAATAACAGTCTATGACATGTGAGGCATGCTAGTTTACCGACATCAAATGTCAAAGACCACCACAAAGTAAAGATCTTTCATCATCATATCGCCTATCTATAACAGATGGCTGAATCCTCTGGCATTGGTTGCCATAAATGCATACTTTTGAGGGCGTCATTTTGAGGATTGGTTGAAGTGGCAGTAAATTTGGGTCGGAAAATTCAAGAGTCTTTGTCTTCTGTGGAACAACTATACATCTTTAACACTCACATGTGGTGTTTGAATGAGCTAATGATTCCTTTGTACTTGTTGAATGCTCGATTTCGAATTCCAAATACAATACATTCGTTTGTGCTTGTGTCTCACTTCCTAATTCAATTGCGCTAATTCTGGGACTCTTAGTTCATGCTATAATTCAAACAGTTCGAAATATAATATTGGCGTCGCGATGGAGCCTGCAATGGAAAAGTTAGATATTCATTCAACTTCTGAAGCTTTTGAGGATTACTTTGAAAGGTTCGATATCTGGGCTATGACCAAGGAAGATGATGAGGATGTTAATATTGTGGCATATTTTCTCACATTCATCGGTAAAGAAGCATACAGCTTATTAAGAACTCTGGCTATTCCGGAAAAGCCCATTTCGCTTCCTTATACAACTCTCAAGGATTTACTACTAGACTATGTCAAGTATGCAAATTTTGATTGCAGTGAAGAAGGGAAATTTCCTAAAATGATTCATCAGGACATCAAAAATTCTGCTACATCACGTCATCCTAATCCAGTGCATACTCAAGGTTATGCAGACAATTCATTGAGGAGTTGCAATGTATTTCACGAAGATGGGCACAAGTTTAGTCAGTGTTTGTCCTGTAGCAAGTTCCACTTTTAATTCATGTAAATTTCGTAATTCTAAATGCTTTAAATGTGGTGATAT